GTGTGTGTTGTATGTATGTTGTGTGTGTGTATGTATGTTATGTATGTATGTATGTATGTATGTATGTATGTATGTATGTATGTATGTATGTATGTATGTATGTATATGTATATGTATATGTATGTATATATATATTATATATATATATATATATATATATATATATTATATATATATATATATATATATATATATATTGCATACATAAAAAGGTGCATCTTTTCATAGGGTTATTTTCAGTAATATCACCACCGAAAAGAGAATACGGCTTCAGCAACAGATGAAAAATTACATAGAATTCACCTTCAGGTAAAATAAGTTACTTACTTTTTGGTTTCTGGAAATCCACAGACGATAAATTCGCAACCGCACTCCCGACTAACCGCTCTTATCGCTACATTGGCGGTTGTAATTAGCTTGACTGATCTATCTGGTTTTATCTCAGTTTCAGATACGAAATATGCACGACCAACAACGTACTCCCACCTTCGTCGCCCATCTGCTACCTTCTGGACGGCACTTGTGGATCGTGGGATGTCGCTGCCGAGCAACCCCCCGACCCAAACTCTCATACCGATTTCAGAAAAGAGTAAATAAAACGATAAACCTCACGTGTTCTTGTCTTAATAAATATATTCTCCTGAATTTACACACTTCTTCTGACACACCTGGTTGCTTAGACGCTCCACCTACTCGGAATGTGGAAAAATCTGCTACGAAGGATGGGAAAAGAGGCAAGCGAGTAGTCGTACGTCTGGCATCGGGTACCTTTCTAATTTGGGATTGACAAGTGACTAAATAGTGTCGATATGGCGGCAGAATAAGGGGGAGGAGCCACTCGTTCTCCCATTTGCCGACGAGAAGTGGGCTTGGTCTTGTCAGTTGCAGTCGTGGTTGCTTTTGTTTGCTCGGAAGACAGGCGAGAAGGAAAAAAATACACGGATACATGCATACACGAATGTTCACACACACACACACACACACGACACACACACACACACACACACACACACACACACACACACACACACACACACACACACAACACACACACACACACACACTATATATATATATATATATATATATATATATATATATTATATGTATATAATGTGTATGTGCATTTCTCTCTCTCTCTCTCTCTCTCTCTCCTCTCTCTCTCTCTCTCTCTCTCTCTCTCTCTCTCTCTATATCTAATATATATAATATATATATATATATATTATATATATATATATGTGTGTGTGTGTGTGTGTGTGTGTGTGTGTGTGTGTGTGTGTGTGTATGTGTGTGTGTGTGTGTGTGTGTGTGTGTTGTGTGTGTGTGGTGTGTGTGTGTGTGTGTGTGTGTGTGTGTGTGTGTGTGTGTGTGTGTGTGTGTGTGTGTGTGTGTTTGTGTGTTTGTTTGTGTGTGTGTGTATGTGTGTATGTATATATATATATATATATATATATATATATATGTATAATTATATATATATATATATATATATATATATATATATATATATATATATATTATATTTATATATGTATATATACTTACACACTTGCACGCACGCAAAAAATGCACACGTACACCTACACGCACACACAAACAACACACAATGCCCACACCATTACATATACACATATATTTTGTGTATATATTTTATATACATACATTCACACACACACACGCACACACATACACACACACACACACACACACACACACACACACACACACACACACACACACACACACACACACACACACACACACACACACACACACACACACACACACGTTCACTGTCATGGACACAACGGACATAAGCACAAACACAGAAACACAACATGCACCTACACATATACGCACGCGCAAGTATACATACACAATGCCTTACAAACACTGACACGGCCACACATTCCACACACTTCTACACACACACACACACACACACACGCCACCTACACACACACACGCCACACACACACCACACACACACACGCACGAGCGCACACGTATCCATTCACACTGACACACAAACACAGTCACGAAACACACTCTTAATCACACAGACACACGAAGACACACACACGCGAAGTGATCACCCACTCCCCAAACACACTGACCCCTCTATCCGCAAAATCCACATATCCACCTGAGGCTTCCGGCGCTCCCACGATGCCGCTCCCCAGATGCCTCCGCTGTCCCGTCGCCGACACCATCTTCGGCTGCCTTCAGATCCTTCAGTTCGTCCTCGTCCTGGGCGTCTGCGTCCTCGCCCTCTGCACGATGGTGGCGGAGATGCAGCGCGGCCACTTCAGGGGCAACGGCACGACCAGCGACGCGGACCTGTACCCTTCGGTAGCCTTCCGATTCCACGAAGTAAGGGACTACTTCCTGCGCGAGCTCGAGGACGCCTACGAGGACTACCCTCGGGAAATAACGACGCCGCCGATCTTCAGATAGAGGAGGGAGAAGGTCCTGCCGGTGTGCGACTTCGACCTCTTCTCGGATGAGCCGCAGGAGGAGGAGAAGGAGGAGGTGAGGGTGTGCTCGTACCTCGGAGGCGCACCGGAGCTCGACCGGAATCCGATAACGGGCGTTCCGAGTCCCTTCGAGGACTGGGACGTCGAGCTCTGTGGTCCGCTTCCTATTGACCCATCCGTCTTCAGGGCGGGCGCGGGGCAAGGGCAATTCTAAGGGCCTGGCCGCAGTTTTTCGGCGGAGGGGCATGTGCTTCAGCTACCCGTCCCTTCGAAGTCCGAACGTGTACATGGGGAAGAGGACCACGCTCACACACACGAGGAAGAGGACCACGCGAGGAAGGGACCACGCTCTCACACCGAGAGAGGACCACGCTCACTTACATGAGGAAGGGGACCACACACACGAAGGGGAATACGCTCACACTCGCGAGGAGGAAGGTCACTTAGGTGGCGTGAATGAAGGAGAGAAAGGGAACATCACTGACTCTCCTCGTTCAGCCTTTACCGAGAAATGTGTGCTGACTCCCCTGAGGAAGTGGTTCCAGCATCACATTACCGACGACACTGTGTTGATCGCCGTCGACATGCTACTGCATGGCAACGGGACTGTGAAGCGAGTGCAAGCAGGCTTCGAGAACTTCTACCTGCACTACTGGTGGTCACACGCCGGCGTAAACACTCTCGACAAGTCTTCGTTGGTCGTTTCCTCGGTCGCGCTGCTGGGCCTGCTGATGGCGGTCTACTTGATGATGTTCGGCTGCGCCTTCACGCATGAATTCTTTCGCAACAACAGGCGTTTCGTCAGCTTTGTCTTGAGCCTCATTTGTTTCATCCTGTGCATCGTCCTGGTCGTTCTTCAGCTGAAGAGTTCCGCCGAGAGGAAGGCCCTGGTCGACTCCTTCGCCGAGACCTTGGACCTGTCCGAAGGAGGAAGCGCCGACGAAAAACTCGTCCTGGTCCGCAATC